GGGCTGCCCCAGCCCGGGTTCCCCGCCCCCAGCTGCCGTAAGGAGGCGCGCCCACCCACCAGGCACCAAAAACCATGCCCAGGTAAGGCTGTGGGCTGTGCCAGGGTCTGGCTTTGCCCTGGAGAGCAGAGCCAGGTTGCAGGGAGGGCACAGGTGCTGGGTGGTTGGGTCCCCTGTGAAACTACGGCACCTATGCCAGCGCTGGTGTTTCTGGGCGGGGGGAAGGATGGGTGGAAGGTTTATTCATGAGGTTTACCTGCACGCATACTGTCCAATGGCCGGTTGTCCCCATTTGCCCTGACCGCAGCCACGGTGCGGCCTGAGGGGTGGCAGGATGGTGGCTGGTGCTCCCCAGGGCAGCCCACAGCCACCTGCATGGCAGCAGCGCAGGCCAAGGCAAGGTGCTGCCTGTCGTGCCTTCGAGGCACCCAAAGCCTCCAGCAGCCCTTCCTCACCTGGAATTAACATCCCCACACCACAGGCAGGGACATGGGCTTGTAATGAGCACAAGGCACGCGGTCCTGGGTAGCAGTGGGTCTCTGGAGCAGCCAATGACACAGCCACAGCTCTGGAGAGCCCAGCCAACGCAGTCCATGTGGGATGGCAGGGCCAAGGCCACCCATTTTCCTGTGGCTCCTTCAGCAAGGACACACAGTCATCCCCACATGGCTGTCCTGCTGCTTCTGCCTTGCCACATCCACCGGGGCACATCCAGCACCGTGCATCCAGCCTGCTGCGTCCATCGGGACACCTCCATCCTGCTGCATCCATCGGGACACCTCCATCCTGCCGCATCCATCAGGGCATCTCCATCCCATCACCTCCATCCTGCCACATCCATGGGGCCCAGGACTGCTCCTGCCATGGGGCAGGAGGTTTTTGTATGGCCCTGTATCACTGTGTGGTGTATTCGGGCCCGGGACCACGCTGACCGTCCTAGGTGAGTCGCCGACTTCTTCTCGGTCTTTCCTTCCCCACCGCGAAATTGTGACCATTTGTCGATTTTCGGTGATTTGGGGTTTTTTTCTCGGACTTGGCGCTGGGCTGGGGTCTGCCGCCGGTTCAGGGATGGGCACTAAGCGTGGCGTTGTGGGCTGCGTCTTGTCCCTGCGGACTCGGAGGGCTCTGGTGCGCGCCACAGAGGATTGGGGGCTATTTTCGTAATTGAAAGATCTTAAAATTTGGCCAGGAAATGTGTCTAAGGTCTCAGAGAGCCTATTTCAGAAACTCAGATTTAGGTGTCTAAGAAAGTAAATTTTTGTCTTTGTTAAAGAAATTAGTCATTAGTCTAAGGTCTAAGGTCTAAGTCCTCAACTCAGTCCCGAGGACTAAGTCTGCCGCCCTTGGTGAGGAGCAGGGGCTTCTCTGCGGCATCCCACGGCCGAGGGTGCAGGGACTGCAAAATGGCAGCCTGTCTTTGGCTGTGAGTGGGCTGAAGTTCCTTTCAACTTTGTGTTAAAATGGCACGTCCCCAGAATCTTAACCAAAAGTTTTCAGGGGTATCTTAAAGAGTCCGTTGTCCAGGTAAGCCGTGTCAAAAATGGAGATTATTGTGTTGAAAATGCTGCTGGGAACATAATTTCTCTATTTTTGTCTGTAATTTTTTTTTAAATTTGGTCAAAAATACCAGTCTGAACCAAATTACTGGGGGTGTAAGATCAAGAAAAATGTAGTTTGCCAATTTCTTCAGCAGAAAGTTTTTAATGGCAGAGTCCTCCTGGTTTTCGATTAGAAATAGAGATAGAGACAGAGACAGAGACATTGTGCATTTGGGGAGGCAGCAGAACCACCTCAGAAAGACCAAACATCTTTTCTCTGTCTTCCTTCGCGTGATTTTTAGTTGTGCCTTTTCTGAGACAAGTCTGAAAGTGTCTGAAAGCAGAGCAGAAAACGGGATGGTTTGTCTTTGAAATTTTGATTTTTAAAAGAATTGCCTTGCAAAGGGAAAGAAATGGGTTTATGGCAACTAACCAGAGATTTTGTTTTATATGTATATTATATATATGAATATATATATCATATATATGTATATATATAAAAAT